TAGAAGCAGCTTTACAATAATCCAGATCGAAGTCCCTAATGAGCAATGATTATCATATTGACCAGCGTTCGTTTCAAATGGACAAGCACAGCACTTCTGTACACTGCGGTGATGACGACTGTATCTATATGAGCTGTGAATAAACATTGTTGGTGCAAGCAAAGTGTTTCAAAACACAGGATTTACTGACCGATTCCGTCCTGCGGCTCTTGTTTTTACACAAGCTTAGGCCACTGTTGTCTCACCAGCTTTCATTTGTATACCATTATCTAGATCGATGCCCAGCTGGCCAGAGCCTGCAACCTCTTCATAAGAGGACAGCGTTCTCATAAGTTAATCAGACAGTATTGATCCTTGTCTCCCCCCCCCGAAGATTTAGATCAGCTTAAAAAGATTCCCCCCCTCGAGAGCACTGCTGCCAAATAACCACTTAGGACAATTATAAGCGATAAGTGGAATCACTTACGCTTAAAACTTTAGCCTCTTTCAAAATGAATCGACTTCAGTCTGTGGCATAAATCACGATATAGTTTATCTGCCCCCACCTGCCATCTTCAGCTCGCCCGATGAATAATAATGCAGGTTATGAGAGGGGGCGATCAACACGCCTGGACAAATTATCTGGAGATCCTTTTTAAAATGTGCCAGTGAAGGGAAAGAAGTTTAATTTTTGAGTGAAAGGCTGAAACATTGATTACCACCTCGATGTAAACAGCTCACATAATAAGAACAGAAGAAATGCACAGTGACATTTGAGTTCTAAACCACAATAGGTTTGCTCGATAAGGGAACGCGGGGTAAAATGTCACAGTGCTTTTCTATGTATTTAAACAGATTCAAGTAGAACGTGCTGTCTGGGTCATCTTCTCATAGCCGTGTGATCTGGGGGTTTTGACAACTATCAGATGGATATTTCTCAGGATTCACACTGAAGACCGTTTTTGTTCCAAGTATCTTTTTTTCCCAATGTTTTTCAAATTGCAAATATTTGTCTGCAAGTTAGACATATTAATTTAATCTCCCTCTTGTGATACAGCAAATATAGCAAATATATACCGATGAGCCAAAACATTTTGGCCGCCAGCCTAATATGCTGTTGTGCTGCCAAAACAGCTCTGACCTACCACAGGCATGGACTCTACCAGACATCTGAAGGTGTACTGTGGTATCTGGACATTAGCAGCAAATCCTTTAAGTTCTTTAATGAGGTAGAGCCACTGCGGATCGGACTTGTTGTTCCAGCACATTGCATAGATGCAGGATTGGATTGAGATCTGGAGAATTTGGAGGCCAGGACAACACCTCAAACTCTTCCTCATGTTCCTCAAACTGTTCCTGAGCAAGGTGTGCAGTGTGACAGGTCATTATCCTGCTGAAAGAGGCCATCAGGGAACACCATCACCATGAAGGAGTGCATCACACTCCCTCCACCAGCTCATCTTCTTCCCTCAGTGCATCCAGGTCCATCACTTCTCCAGGTAAACGCTGCAAACGTACCCAGATGTCCACGTGATGTAAAAGAAAATGGGACTCATCAGACCAGGTGGCCTTCTTTCCATCTCTCCAAGGTCCAGTTCTGACCCTTGCATGCCCATTGTAAACACTTTAGACAGTGGACAGGGGTCAGCATTGGTCTGCAGCTATGCAGCACCATACCCAGCAGTATGAGATGGACTGTGTGATGTGACCTTCATCCCGTAACCATCATTAAACATTTCAGTAACTTGTGCCAGAGCAGCTTTTCCTCCAGTTTGGACTGGACAAGATAACCTTTGTCACTCATGCTTCGATGAGCCTTGGATGCCCTGTCGCTGTATCATGGTTTGTTTGGTGTGGTCCATTGTTGGTAGGTACTTGCTGACCAGGAGCACCACACAAGCCTTACCATTTTGGAGAGGATCTGACCCCAGTCATCTGACCATAATGATTCCACCCTTGTTAAAGTCTCTCAGGTCTTCACGTCTGACCATTTCTCTCACATCCAACACGTCAACTATGAGAACTGACTGTTCACTTACCATCTGCTATGTCCAGAACTTGACATGCATGTTCATAATGTTTTGACTCGTCAGTGTAGTTTTGCAGCTTATCAGTAACTCACTGTGAGAGCCAGGCAGCCTAAAGTACAGCTTTAATTAGTTTTAACACGTCGCTACAGCTGAACTTCCCAAAGTAAACCGTGAGAGAACTTAATATCCCCTCATATAAATTCAAAACACTTATTTATTTTTTGCTAGCACTTTATTTTATTAGCCCACTGTAGATACTTTGTAGTACCTTTCATTTAACTTATATTCCAGTAAATATCTATTAAACTCACCTTAATTCTAAACTTAAATCCTAACTCTGTTGGGAACCTGAGTTCACCAGATCTGTAGATAATAATGTTGGGCCTGTCCAAATAAATTAGAACCTTGTTTTCCAACTTTTTATTCACCTTAGAAATGTACCACAACTGTCATGTAAATAAAATAGATTTTATTTCATGCTGGTATTTACAGTTCTGCCAGAAAGACTGAGGAGGCAGGAGTGAAGAGGACAGTGTTTCTATCCTTAACTGAATTTTATAAGTTAAAATATAACAATTCAGTAGAAATTTGAGTTTTGACGTAGGCCCCGCCCACGGGTTCAGGTCTTGGAGAGGCGTTGAGGACCCGAGGACCTGATAGAGACGCTATCCTGCAGGATCAGCGAGGGTCTCAGCGCCTCTCTGGGGGTGGACAACCAGACAGGGCCCCAACTGGTGGTGGTGAGGTGGAATGAGGGGAATGTTGAAATGTAACTGAAAACAGCAGATTAGGTCCGAAAGTCAGAGTCACAGGTATGTCACAGGCCTGTGATTGGTCAGGAGGAATGAATGAATGAATGAATGAATGAATGAATGATGCAGCATTAAAGTCTTCATGGCAGAACTTTTGCCGGCGCTTCCATTCCTGCTGTCATCAAAAATGAAATTTGCCAGTTTGACAGTCTTTGCTAATGATGGCCATTTCACTCATACTGTACTGTTCACTTACAGTAGTTGCTGAAAACAACATTTACAATTTTATTTGTTGCAGAGATGTGTTGTTTACATATGTACAATAATTAATAAACCTTGTTCAGCATTATGGAGCTTCTGTTCGTCCTTGATGCCACCAGTCATGCATGTATTGGAGATGAAATTAAATAGCGTAGACCTTCAGATTTAATTTGAGGGAATTAATTACTGATGGCCTTTTCGGTCAGTAACTGTGTCACCTGGACTGATCTGCTCTTTATCAAAGAGAGGAAATTATTAACACTTTAAATTCATTTTACTTGCTTCATGTGCTGTGAAATGCTCACTGTTTAACTGACCTGCTGTATCATCGCTGCTGTGTAGGTGAGCACAAACCCAGTCAGACTTATCTGACACAGCGTTACAGCGCTGCTGTCTCTCGGGGTCTTTGCTGAGAAGCAGATGTATAAAGGCTTGTTTATACCTTGACTTGCATCAACAGGACTTTTCAATGAACAGCTCATGTTTGGATTTCACCTGAACGCTTGAAAAGCCAGATGTAAACACCTAATATGTGTTGTGATCCGATTAGGATCAGGTGTCTCAGGTGTAGTGGTGTAACGATACACTCAGCCCACGATTCGATGGGATTCACAGTACTGGGTTCATGATTTAATATTTCTCACAAGGTAAATGATGACTATCCAGAAATTCTGGATCCTTATCTCTTTTAAAAAAGAATCGTAAGACTTTTCTTTTTGGACGTGTTTTATGAATTAATTTCGCTTTGTTCTAGAAACTCTGGATCTTTGAAGGAAAATCTTGAAAGTTTTCCTTTTAGATGTACTTTATGAATTTTGTTTTGTTATAAGAATTTCTGGATCTGTTTAAGTACAATTCTAAGATTCTTCTTTTTAGACATGTTTTTTTTCTGAATTTGGTTTTGTTTATTTTCTGTAAAGCACCTTGAGTTGATGTCATGAACTGTGCTATAAACTTCTTCTTCTTATTATTATTATTATTATGGTTGTTGTAGTACTGACTAACAGCACTAGAGCGGGGAGCCAGGAGGAGTTGAGGCTGGTGCAAAACTACAATATGAACATACTATAAAACTATACAACAGTGTTTATTAAGCATTTCATTTATTGTATCTCGTGCAGTAGATTTAGAAGGTGCTGAACAAACCAAAAGCCAATGAAACTGTTTTATTTTAATGACTATGTAGTTTTGCTTGGATCACTGAAAGTTAACCATCCATCCATCCATCCATCCATCCATCCATCCATCATCTAAACCGCTTATCCTTCTGGGTCGCGGTGGGGTGCTGGAGCCTATCCCAGCTGTCATTGGGCGGAAGGCAGGATACACTCTGGACAGGTCGCCAGTCCATCGCAGGGCTCAAAGTTAACCAGAGTTGAAAATCTTTTTAAACTGCTGAAAGTTTTGAGTGCTGATGAGTTCTGGCATCACAACAAGGGGATAAAATATGTACACGATTTCACAAGACACCACTTTTGTTTCCATTTTTGCAGTGTTTTTTAAAGAAAGATGGCGATATCTAATTTATCCAATCTAAATATCTAAACACCTTCCTGTTTAATCTGATATTAAAGCTACTTAGTGTCACCAAAAATTTGTCAAGCAGCTGAGACAGTTTATTGATGATGACACTGTGTTTAATTTCACTGAGAGTAGTGCGTCGGGGACGACGGCACACAGAAGCGTTACCTGCAGCTACACTGAGGATGTTAAACTTTTTAAGTGTCTCAGATTATTTCTACGAGGTGCTAATATAATTGTACTAATGTGTTTTGAATATCGCTCAACTATCAGTCAGCCTTTCTATGCCACCTCGATCCCTCCAGCCTCTCTGTTCTGAAGCTCCAGCTCTGGTTTGGTCTGAAGGTGCTCCGTCAAATCATGCATGCTCAGTGAAGCTGTCAGGTTTGTGCTGGTTTGCTGAGGCCTGGCGTGAGGAAGCATCTGAAGCTGCTTTTGTCTGTCTCCATGTCCTCAGGTGATCCAGACCATCAGCGCGGTGGATAAAGACGAGCCTCCCAGTGGCCATCGCTTCTACTTCTCCCTCGCTCTTCCTGCAGGCAGCAACCACAACTTCACCCTGAGAGACAACAAAGGTGAGCAGGTTGTCTCTGAAGTGCCGTCTGGGGTCGAAGCTCAGCGCAGAAACAAGAGGCATGGAGGATAATAAGGAAGCCTGAGATGGCCTGAAAAACAGGCTGTATGCAGGATTATGTAGTGTTGAAGCTCCTTTGGATAATCCTTAAAAATCAGTTATCACAAGCATGATGGGCAGTCAGGTCTGTAAATATTTGGAAGTTATTTAGCTTTCTACGTATTGGAAATTAAATTTAGATTTAATTTGAGGGCTGTTACAAACAAATAATGTTGGAATTACAACCACTTTCAAACACAACCCCCCCACCCACATTTAGGGCCACAAAAGAATCAGACTGCTCAGCTGCTCCCTGAGCAGGTGTGTGTTTTTTCCCTCATTATTTCATTTACAACTGAGCAGATTAAAGGTCTACTGGCAGCTTCACTGTCAGTAAAGAAAACTGTCATTAGGCTGAAAAATCAAAACAAACCCATCAGAGAGAGCAGAAACATTAGATAAGGCCAAATCAATTATACTGCACATTATTAAAAACAAAGGCCAGGAAGAAGGCAGAAAACAACTGGAGTGGATGGCAAGAATTATTTCCCTGCTGATAAAAAATCTTCAAAACACTTGGCCAGGTCAACAACCAGCTTCTCTGAGGCTGGACGCCAGCGTATCTGACTCAAATCAACCACCAAGAGGAGACCAGAGTGAATACAGAAGGTTTAACACAACATGTAAGCCTCAGAAACAGGAAGAGGCCAGATCATCACAATCGTCAGATTTTTCATTTCAACACTAAAAAGTGCTGAACTGCAGAAAATATGCCGATTCTTAATGTTCCACACTGATTTTCAGACTTTGGGACTCATTTACTTCAAAACAATGGGATCTAACTGCTCACCATGTGGCCATGGGGGATAGGGATGCAGCCTCACTTCCTGCTCTAAAATGCAGGGCGTGGCTAAAACAAGGCTCCACCCACATACTAAAACTCTGCATTTTGGTAGTGACATGAAAACCTGGTACAAAAAAAGGAAAAAAAATGTAAGTATTATTTGTGCAACTGTAAATTTAGGGGTTGGGGTTTGGGACAGACTCCTCCCAATAGAAAATACCCTATAAATGATGATGGTGTATATATTTAGCTTATTACAGTCTCTATTAATGTCTTGGATTTAAACAGATCAGAACATCATCCTTGTAGCTCAAACAACTTTTAGTGTGTGAAAAGTTTGATATGGGCCCTTCAAGCAGTACAGTTCTGTATCTTTTTGTACACTCTAATTTTATACTATACTGAAAAACACTATGTATGTATATACCAGCCTATTCAGCCAACAGTTCAGCTCAGCACATTTCACTGTTTCAGCCTCGACTTACTTTGTTAATGTTTCACATTAAAAAGTTCATTTTGAAAGTACATATTAAAGTGGGCAGAGTCATAAAGCCACTATCATGACTTTACAAAGTGGTTTTAGTCCAAATTGAATCTATTTTCACTCACTCAAAAATAAAACATCCTATTGTTCATATAAATGGCATCATTACGGATAGTTAGGTAGATGTTTTGGTCATACTATTTGGATGGTCCCCTATAGATGCTCTACAGATACTTAAATAATTAAACTTTTTGCTTAAATTCAGTTGATCATCAACAACGTTATGGTTAGGGTTAGGAGTAGATGTAGGTTTTGCTTTGAGGTTAAAAATAGGGATAGATTTAATCAAATCTTTCACACTAAACTTGAAGTTCAGTTGCATTTAGTGGATATTTAGTTGAGTGTTACTATAGATGATAAACATCATATCTACTCTCATTTAGTTTCACTTTTGTGAAGCAGAGTTATAAGTGTGCAGGAAAAACACCAAACCAAAGCTCTCCTCCAACACCAGAGACAAGCTCTCATAAACTAAGATGAAGGATGTGCTGTAAAATATCTAGAACAATAGAAAAGTCCTAACACGTAAGATTAAAAACACAAACAAACAAAACCACTGTGTAGCAGTTCTCTCTCCATCAGCCAGCTCGAATACCTCTTTTTAAAGCTTCGGCTCCTCCCGTTACACCGTCCAGGCCTCTGACTGGTCAGAGGTCCTCCTCACATGACTGACGGCTATAGCAGGTACACCTGTGAAGGGAAAGAACAGAGAAAGAGACACAAACACAAACTACCAAAATATGTGTTGGCATTATAACCACCCAAAAGAAAGTAACTGTAGTTGCTTTTCTTCACACATCAAACATCAAAAATGATGGTTTTTCAAGGGTTCTTTAGTAAAGAAAATGGTTCTATAGATTGGTTATATGGTTATATAGAACCATGAATATTCCAAGAAGCCCTTGCATGATTAAAGGGTTCTTCGCATGGTGAAAGTGTTCTTCAGGTTAAAGGAGAATGTGCTTGATATAGTTCTATTTAGAGCCTTTTTGAAAACGGTTCTATATAGCACCAGAAGGGTTCTGCTATTGATACGTGCTATACAGAACCGTATACAACACATTCTCCATCAATCTGAAGAATGCTATCATGGTGTAAAGAACTTTTAATTATGCATCGGGCTCTTTGAGTGTTCCTGGTTCTATATAGAACCGTTTTCCTTACTAAATAACCCTTGTAGAACCATCTTTTTAAGTGTGTTGAAATCATACAAAAGTGGGAATGGAACATGTTAGAGTTCTAAAGTTTAGCCTGGCTAAAAGGAAAAGACTGAAGACAAAGTGCACAACTTTGTGTGTCCAGACATCACCAGTCTATCTGCATGGGTTGCCGTGGTAACGACGTAGGCGTCAGTAACTACGTAGCTACGCTGGTGACGCGGATTTCAAGCGCGGATGCAGGAGAGATGGAGGAGCATCATCTCGCCCTCCAAACTCTTCAGAACTCTCATAATCTCATAATCATGAATCTTTGGAGCTCTTCTTGAATCCCAGCACTGCATCACTCTGGATTTGACATCGTCGCTGTTTGTCGTGTTGTTAGTGATGCAAGACACGTTGAAATCTGATTTGAGTGTCTAGAGCGTCCAGACTAGGTGGGAGATAGGAGTTGCATTTCAAACCACCTTCAAATGCTATGGTTTGCAAAAAATCTGATTTTTATATATATTTTTTGTTTGTTTGTTTTTCAAAAAATCTGGATATGACAAAAATCAGATTTGGGCTGGCAGTCTAAACAAGGCCTCAGACTCCTGGCCATGGATGACTGTAGCATCACCAGGGTTCAAACTCCTGAACCGTGATCTCCTAAAGCCTTGGGTTCACTACAAGACTTTTGACAGTCTTAACAGATCATAAAAGACTGAGTATCTCACGCTTTCACACTGGTTTCTGCAGATTTTCAGGGGCAACTGAAATATTGAGGATCACACACTAAACGACTGCTAAACTGAACGGAACTCGCTGAGCTCACTAAAACTCAGGTGTTCTCCCATTATTAGAAGACGCAAATAAACAAGCCTGCTGCTGTTTTCTCTGCCGCTTGCACTGAAACAGTAAAGAAGCAGCAGCTAAACATGTTTAATGAGAATCATGGGTTTAAAATGTGATCAGTTTGGTATTTCTAGAGGTTTAAATGATCATAAACTCGATTGTGCCTTAAACTCAGCTCATTAAAAAGCTTCACACTTGAGTGACTTTTTACCATTTTTCTTTGTTTACTTGCTGTATTTTCTCCTTTCATGCTCTCAGTTTTCATTGGCTGTTGGAGGAACCCGTTCAGATTGAGTCGCTGATCAGTTTACACTAGATTTCACTCAGAGTCGGGTTAAAAAATCAAGCGTTTGATGAACTCTGACTGGTCTGAATTGCGATTGAGAGGCGGTAAATCCGGGTCAGCGCCGCTCACACGCGACTCGACTCTCTCTCCAACTGTCGACTCAGCCCGACCCAAAAATCTGCAGACTAGAGCCGACCAGCTCAGACTCAGCCTGAGTATCGGAACTAAAATCAGGGTAAAGGTCGTGTAGTGTGACCCGGCTTCATGAGAAAGCCAGTTTCAAAGGTATGCAAGGTTGCCTATGTTGAAAAAAACACATGGAGACGTGCTGACATGAGCGTTTATTACCCAGTCTAGGTTTTGAATGGTCACTGTAAATACTAGGCTTTCTCAAGGCGACCTCTGGAAATGGTTGATATAACACACTGACAGACATTAAATCACCTTATATTGTCTATTTGTTGATTCATATGAATTCTGAAGGGCGTTAAATGCTAACGGCCCTGATAAAACACTTTACACATCATTTCCTCTGATGGCCTGAGACATTTGCAAAGTAAACGAATAGCCTAGATCACTCTGTCTTTAACAGTACTGCACTTGACTCTCCTCTGGTTGCGAGATCTGTTCTAGATAAGGGTCAAGTCTCTAATTCGACAGAACAGGTAAAATCCTATTACTGTGCATGGCTGCTAAGTTGCTATCTGCACAGCTGTACTGAGCATGAACGCAGACAGCGCCGTCCTTCAGCTGCCAAATTAGCGCAGCCCTGCATCCTCCAAACCTCAGACTGCAGCTCGTCAGCCGTGGATAAGAAGCTAAAACTCCCAGCTTGTTTGCTTCACCTTTGAATGCGGTTTTCCGGATTAGAACGCCCATGAATGTTAATTGATGGTTCTAGCGGTGCGGGACACAAACAGATCAGATCTTTTAAGTATAATGGAGCAATTTGAAAGTATAATTTAATCTCTGAGTGAACCGTCTCTACTTGAACAAAAATTTCTCTGCTCTGTGCCTGTCGTCAGAGAGACAAGTGCAATGTTTCTGTGCATCTGATTTGTTTCTTGTTTTCCCGTATTGTCAAATTCTGTCACAGCTGAGAATCCAAAGTGGGATATTTATAAGGATCTGATTTTTCTGGAGGACGTTTGTCACTGTGACTCAAATTATTTCTGTCAGGTCGTCTCAGACTGATTTTTAGCTTCAGTGTGATGCTCAGTATTACCGAGCTGTTCGGGTGCTGGATTCTGAATGCATTCTCTGCCTAGATCACACAGCTTTCCATCCTTCCATGCATTCATCCACATTTCCATCTGTTTATCTGCTGGGTACTTTTTTCTGAGTGGAAATGTAGTTAACAAACATACATCTGCACATTTTACTGCACAACCACAGTTTATTTACTGAGTTTAACGTATTGGGGGACAATACAGAATACAAGCCTGCACAAAATGTTTGGTACATATTAAATTTTATTCTTCTCTAATATTTTACACTCAGCAAATAAACAGAAAGCGCTGAAATAAACATGTTAACTTATTTCCATTTAAAAAACACAAAATGTAATTTGACTGGGGGTGTTCAAACTTTTGCATATGACTGCACCTGCCTTTTCAACCTACAACAGTTTAGCCCCGCCCACTCACACTGAAGTATATAAAGTTTATAAACAGCCTGTTTAGTCCTAAGGGATTAAAAAAGGTTGGAAAATGATCAAAGAAAAAGGTTACTGTAATAATTTCTGGTGCAGAAAAACACACAAATGTCATAAGTGAGCATTACAAAAATGTAAAATACAGGCTCTGTAGTCATTTAACCCTTAGAGGTGCACAGTTATTATTATCAATTTACTGTACTATTCAAATATAACAACAGTTACATAATTAGTTGTTAGTTGAAATAATTACTTGTACATTCAATTTACATTATGCATCAATAATTTTAGTCTTAAATGGCTTTTTCTGTTTGTTTTGTTGTAAAACATGGCAAAAATATAAAGAATATATGGTACCACTTTATTTTGATGGTCCACTGTAGATGCTCAGGCTGTTTAGTTAAAGTCACATTCAATTAAATATCAAATAAAGGCAAAATTGTAAATAAAGGCTTGAAATTTAATCTGAAAGATTCTATTAAGTCAAACTCTAAACCTAAACCTAACCTGAACTTCAACACTAAACCTACACCTAATCCTGAACCTAACCCTTACTGTAATATTGTTGATGCTCAGCTGAGGGCGTTTAAGAGCACTGTCCATTCATTACATTCAATCTTTAAAAATTTGACCTCTAACCCCAAAGGTCAAACTTTACATATTTACTCTCCTATGTAATCATATATGTTTAATATTTTATTTCTTATAAACCTTACTATAAAGGCCCAGATCACTTTTATCCAGTGACAAAAAATTAGTTCAGTAGACACTAAATAGTTTCTGGTGTGAATAAATCTCAGGAATTTGGTCATAAAGATAAGATTTCAGAATTAATTGGAAAATAGCCAATCAGTAAATGTGTAAACGAGTGTAGATGTGGCCCCTCCTTTGGTCAGGAGAGAAAATAAGGTGCGGGGGACAGATTACCCTGGATATCGTATCTTTCCACAGGTTACCTTTTAAGTTCAAGTTGAGACAAAATACAGTTGTGTGGAAAAGTTTGAACACCCTCAGTTAAATAATGTGTTGTTACTTTACTACTAAAAAAGTTAACACATCCTCCACAGAGAACACATGTGAAAACACCATTTTCCTGCAAATTTAATGCACAAATTTCTCTTTATTTAAATTTGAGTTTAACAAAAATAAAACTAAACATAAAGTTCGCCTTATCTTTTGCGCAAGTCAGTGTCTCTGCAGAGGATGTAACTTATTTACACTCAGAAAATCAACGAATATATGAAATTTGAACAGGGGCACCCAAACTTTTGGATACGACTGCACTCACTCTTACAGATGTGGTGCTGAGTGAACTTTAGGATCTGAACTTTTGACTGAATTTCTCTGCTTGTTTCAGTGAGTTCTGTGGGAGAACTGATGTAAAATCACATTACGCCGATAACAGCAGCCTCTCACTCCGAACATCTAAACATCTTCATCCGTCCGTTGCCTCGTGTGTGTTATCTGTCCATTCAGTCTTTCCCCTGATTGTAATGAGCTTCTCTCCTGACTTTGACCTTCCCTCGACCTCTACGTTATTCGTCCTGCAGATAACACGGCGTCTGTGCTGACGAAGCGGGGTGGGTTCCGCCGGAGGGAGCAGGCTTTGTACCAGCTGCCTGTGCTGATAGTGGACAGTGGAAGCCCCGCCCTCAGCAGCACTAACACGCTGTCGGTGCGAGTGTGCGACTGCGACGGAGACGGCGTTCCTCAGGCGTGCGGCGCCGTGGCCTACACACTCCCCGCAGGCCTCAGCACCGGAGCTCTGCTGGCCATCCTCGGCTGCATCTTCACTCTGCTGGGTAAGACGTGCGCTAACCTCGTTCTGCAGTCGATAGATCTACTATAATAATGATGATTACTTACAAACTAACAAAATCAAACAGTTTTTGATATCGATAATGCATATTTAACCTTCTCTAGATCACTGTTTCAGTCTCAGCACGCTTCCATTAAAGCGTTCACTTCTTTTTTTTTATACATAATATTTATGCATCAAATCGTCCAGCAATACAGTAATGCAATACACCATTACAAAGCCTGAAATCTCACAATTCAATTCACACAAACCATTTTATGATCCATTATTCACAGCAGTTATGATCGTCTCATCTGCAACATAAGCACCAAATGAGCAAATCTCTGGGTCTTTACCTTCAAAGCCTCACCGCTTCGAATTCGAATTCAGAACCATTGGCCAACTGTGTTTGCACACAGAGGAATTAGACCTCCGCATTTTACCCATCTGTGCAGTGAAACACCCAAATACATGCACACTAGTGAACACACACACTAGGGGGCAGTGAGCACACCTGCCCGGAGCGGTGAGCAGCCCTATCCATGGCGCCCGGGGAGCAGTTGAGGGTTAGGTGCCTTGCTCAAGGTCACTTCAGTCATGTCCTGTTGGCTCAGGGGATCGAACTGGTGACCTTCCTGGTGAGCTTTGGTTTTGCCCACTCCGAACCCCACACTGGAGTGCACAAAAGGTTGCATATGCTCTCCATATAAGTGTGTAAAATGTCTTTGTGCTGTAGCATCAACATTACCCTTCTCTGGGACTAAGAGCCCAAACCCTGAAAAACAGCCCAGCCCATCATCCCTCCTCCACCAAACCCAGATTCATCATCAGACTGACTGATAGAGAAGCTGATTCATCACTCCAGAGAACACGTTTCCACTGCTCCAGAGTCCAGTGGCGGCGCTTTACACCCCTCCAGCCGGCTCTTGGCATTGCACATAGTGATCTTAGGCTTGTGTGCAGCTGCCCAGCCATGGAAACCCATTTCATGAAGCTCCTAACACACAGTTCCTTTGCTGATGTTGCTTCCAGAGGCAGTTTGGAGCTCTGTAGTGGAAACAGAGGATAGGCCATTTTTATGCACTACACTCTTCAGCACTCGGTGGTCCCACTCTGAGTTTGGTGGTCTACCGCTTCGTGGCTGAGCTGTTGTTGCTCCTAGATGCTTCCATTTCACAATAATAGCACTTACAGTTGACGGGCAGATCTAGAAGGACAGAAACTTCACAAACTGACTTGTGGCAGACGCGGCATCCTATGACAGAGCCATGTTTAAAGTCACTGAGCTCTTCAGTGCGACGCTCTACTGCCAGTGTTTGTCTATGGAGGTTGCAAGGCTATGTGCTTGATTTTATACACCTGTTAACAATGGGTGTGTCTGAAACACCTTAACCCGATAATTAGGAGAGGTGTCCACATACTTTTGTGCTTCATCTCATCATTTAAATACATTAGTTGAATTTGGATTAGGCAGCATTTGCTGTATTGTCAGTGATTAATCTTCACTGGGGTGATTTAAAAGCAGAAGGAGCAAACGGTTTAAAGTTTTTATAGCTATTTTTCAAACTTCTATCGTTTTGTTAGAAATATAAATGAATAAATCATAAATAATATGGAAAGTCATACAACACAACCACCCAGATGGTTGCATACAAGCTAATCATCCGTCGCTAATATGCAGATTAACGCTGGAAGTGCTGATATTTAATGTAAATGTCAAACAATTAGCAGTTTGAAGCTCCACACTGTAACGGTGAGTCTGTGCAAAACTGCATACAATAAACTATGTTTATAAATATGCATCCTATGCAGTGCGTAAAGATACTGTATCAAATGTAATTATATTTATCTACAAAGGATCTACTTGCAGTTTCCCAGACAGCACCGACCTCAGCGTGTACAGGAAATGCTAATAAATTACTGATGTCAAAGTGCTCTGTGATATTCCCGTTTGTGTCTGTAGAACCCTAGACAGAGGCTGATCTGGCCTGTGGCTTTGTTTTCAGCTCGTCAGCGCCGTACTGCGACACGCCAAACCGCTCTCTATCGCCTGTAATGCTGCCGATGAAGGAAAACCAATTAACTCAACTGGCAGAGTGATCAGCATCTTAAATAACCTCCTCTCCTGTCACCTCCATCAAAACTCCCTCACAACTCTGAGAACAAACAAAGCTTGCTGCTCTTATGGTGGTTCAAGCATCAGGCGGACAGGAGGCAAATAACAGCTACGCCATAAAATAATCACTGTACGTTTGGTTTGCTGATTGAATTGCTGAAGTACACGTAGTCAGTTCAAATCAATCTAAATTTACTCAAGGATCAGGATTAGCACAGATATCACAGTACAGTACAGCACAGTTCTATTAAAGAAAGGTGACTCATCTCATCTACAGTACTGTTCAAACATCTCGGGCAGCCAAAAAAGGGCCCATATTCTATATATCCACTTACAATGTTTATATGTGATTATTTTCCAAAAACAGTCACAATTAGGGCTGAGCAATGTGACAATATTTATCGTCATCATTATATTGTCACATTGTGACTGACAGTGTGACACTATTTATCGTTATCGTGATCGATTACGTCAAAAAATGCTTTTCTGAGCATTATCAGAACTTAATAAACACTTGCCAACTGCATGTATGATTATAAACGGAACATAATCCTAATTAATTAGATTTATTGTGGTGTAGATGAAATGTTGAAAACAAATCAAAGCATTCATAGTTTTTTACCATATTTGATTTTCTGTTAAATGTGGCATGAATTTGTCTGTTCCAACTTATCAGACATAATAAAAAATAAATATTGTGACGTCATGTATCAGGAAAACTTCGTAAAGTATTCTGATATTTTTGCCATATCACCCACCTCTAGCCACAATTCAATTTTCTATGAACATTTTCCATCCTCATTTCATCTCCTAGGATTAACCAGGTTGTTTTGTGTTGGTTTTTGTGACATCAGAGAAGCAGTAATCCAAAACAGGCTGTAATAAAAGTGAGCAAAATTCAGTTTTCCATGATATGGGCCTTTCAAAATGATTTGCTTTGACAGTAAATCTGTGTTTTGCCTGTAAAACAGTAAATAACATTAGAAAAAATACAACTACACATAAAATGAAATGAAACTTTTTTTATTCAAATGCATTAATATTTTGGTTAGAAGAATCCATTTAGAATAACATATTTGATGTAAATATGATAAATACTTGGGCTTCCTCTAAGAGGGGTCACCACAAACTGACAAACAGCTTAATGTACCTTACCTAGAATCTACACTCAGTGAGCACTTTATTAGGAACACTAAACTAATACTGGGTTGAGCTTTGCTCTTAAAACAGTCTCAGTTCTTCATGATATGGATTCCACACGATGTTGGAAACGTTCCTTTGAAATTCTGGTCCATGTTGACATGAATGTGTCATGCAGTTCCTGCAGATTTTTCAGCAGCACTTTTATGCTGAGAATCTAAAGTTCTACCACATCCCAAAGGGTTCTTCTGGACTCAGATCCGGTGGCTGTGAAGGCCACTGAAGAACCCTGAACTCACTGTCATGTTCATATAACCAGTTTGAGGTGACTTTTGCTTTGTCATTGATCAGCATTAATGGGCCCAAAGTGTGCTGAGATCCCCCACCCCATTACACCACCTCCGCCAGCCTGGACTGCTGGCACAAGGCAGGTCAGGTCCATGGATTCATGCTGTTGAAGCCAAATTCTGACCCCACCATCAGTGAGCCTCAGCAAAAATCGAGATTCATCAGACCAGGCTGTGTCTTTTAGTCTTCAGTTATCCAGTCTTCAGTTGGTGAGCCTGTGTCCACTGCAGCCTCAGCTTTCTGTTCTTGGCTGACAGATGTGGAACCTAACATGGTCTTCTGGTCTTCTTTTTTCCACATTCTATGGTTGATATGAACATTACCTGAAGCTGATGCCTGTATCTGCATGATTTTGTGCACTGCAGCTGTGATTGGCTGATCAGATAATTGAAGGAATGAATAGGTTCACAGGTCTTTCTAATACAGTGCTTGGTAAGTGTATATAAAAGTCTTTGGAACTGTACAAGAGGGATGGAACATCATTCTTCCAAAAGATCTACCCTCAGATGGTGTTGTGGTGATGGTGGTCAATACATGCTCACTGTCATTATTTGTAACTAAGACAAGAAGATAACACTTTATTTTTGTCTGAAATTGATGTCCAATATGTTAATTTATGTGGACTGTCCACTGAGAGCTGAGCAATTGTCTACAAATTAGTGGCAACCATCGGGGTCCAAGCACTACACACATTCTGCAGGCGGCATAGGCCTGTTAGCAGATATAACACAAATGATGGATAGAGTTTTTAGAATGGTGTCTATTTTTAATGAGGAGGAGAAGACAAAAGCAGACATCTGCCTAATTTTGTACACACTGACCTTTTGACCTTGGTATGATAATTAATAGGTGTTTAACCAAAACATATATACACCTGGAGAGCAGTACAGTATTTTACTTATATTAACCTTTTCAACTCCTTGAGACCACCGGTGGTCCGTCTTTTTGGCTTTCAGCAGTAAATTGTAAGCATATAGAAATATGTGTATGATCATAAAACACATGTTCTGTTAATTTGAGGGGAACTTTTACAAAAAATAAATAAAATAAAAATGTACATTTATTTCATGCAGTTACTGAATAATTTGCCTTACAATTTGGTCATTTAAATACAGATGGAAAAACCAAAATAGCTTGAAGGCATTTATTTGACCTCTCAAGAGAAACTGTGGCCACATTATGGCCCCACCCAAAAATAAATATATAAATACAAATTCTAGAATAAATTCTGGTCACTGTTCCTATTGAGACACTGGGCAGTTGAACAGTCTTTGTGACTGAAGTTTCTTCCATCAGTGCCCCAATAATGAACCCTCTTTCAAAGATCTTTCCTCTTTTCATCCTGATCCAAAATCGAGGTCAACACTGCCTGCTCAGCATTTTTATATATCACTGCTTTT